CTGGTCGAAGGGAAGGAAGCGGTCTGCCGTGGACAAAACATCCTCGACACGTTTTCCTATCTCCAACCAAACCCCTACCACCAGGAGGGCTTGCTGCCAGTCTCCAAAAGGGCAGTGAATTGTCAGTTCCGAAGAGGGTAGCAAATTTGCCAGTCCTAGAGGCGGCGGCCACACGTAAAATGTTTTGGGCTGCGTCCTAGAAGTTTAAAAGGTGATAAATAAACAATACTCATAAAATTCGTTACCTATGACATAACAGCCAATCAGTGCCGGATCATGTGATTATCATTCGCAATATAGTCCCTCCAAGACGCGTAAAATAAGTTAATGCAAAATGGCTAACTGGTCGTCCACGGCGTACGAGTACCTAAAGAAAACAGCGTTTACTAATTGGTCATATAACGATTTCTTGCAACATGCGCGCATGCAATATCCGTTGGTGTCGCCTTCCGATAGCAACGCCGTCGAGGAAGGATGGTTACGGGCACTTCAGACAATTACTGAAGAAACGAGCGCTAAGAGTCGTCCTGCGAACAAGGCAAGAAAACTCGCAAGTACCCTCGATGTAAGTAGCGGGCAGCGAGACGGAAGTTCTGGTTTTCATCTCAACACAGCATTAACTTCTGTATAGGCTGTGAAAAATTCCGATATGGTACAAGCCTTTTGGTTGGCACAAGAAGCTACTGCCAAAGAGGTACTTGTTGTCGGGCCGTTGTCTGATAGACCTGCATATCTTCCTAATATGGGTCTGTTTGTAGGTCCTACTGGTCCTGAAGGCCGAAGCTGAAGGGATAAATACTCTACGGGTCGTCTTAGATAAAAAAACAACTGATATCAAAAGGAAGCTCGGGAACGAACCCGGACATTGTGATAACGTGGGTTTGTCTCAACTGCACTTCAGCATATTGTGGCATGTGTTGACATTTTTTTGATTTTAAAGCCGCCGATTAGAAAAAAGCCCCGTTTACCTCAGAATGACGGAAACATTATTGAGGATGATCTCGACAATGAGATCGAAAACGATGTGAAGCTTCAAGATCACGAAGAAGAAATCTCGGAAGGCGAAGTTGGTATTTGACGCTCTTCCGCTACATGTTTTATACTTACGCCTCGTCTCATTTAGACTCAGATTTCGACCGATCATGTTTGCAACTGGATTTTATCAACCGGGAAAGATGTCAGAGAGGTGTTGACCACATATCGCAGGAGCATTCCTGCTTCAAAGGCACACTTATAGTGAGTTACTCTGAAAAAAAAACATGTTTTTAGGGATTTCTCCGTAATTTCTGTTGAATGAACTTTATCAATAGCCCAGCATATTTCGGAATCTTGGATCTTTCTGGCGAAGATGTAGAAGTGAAGAACCTGTTCACAAGCGATGAATGGGGTGAAATGATCCAGGATTTTCAGCAGAATGTTCAATTAAGCGATTTGAAAGAAGAGCATGAACGGCCTTTATACGAACTTATGGATAGAATTACTGAGGTAATGACGCAATCCACACTATTCTTTCTCCATCATAATTTACCTGCTAAAACAGCCATTTCTTATTATTACTGCTAGATGCTGAATAAAAACCCTCCTGATTTGATTACCGCTATTGAAGGCTGCGCTGTTGAAGTACGTTATTATCTACATCGATTTCTTTTAAAATGCAGATCTAATCGCCATTTTACAGGATAATAAAAAAATTAATGCGATCCGACGACTTATTCAAACATAGTAAGTTTATATTTTGTTTATTTATTCACATATTTTTACATGTGGCTGGATTTACAATAATTGTGAAATTCACCACCTATAATCTAGAACGCCTACGTTTACCGATGTCTGAAGCTGCGTTCGGCAGTAATTTTACGAATCTTATGACCAAAGGGATCCTGACATTCGATCAGATTTATCACTACGAGGAGTAAGTGTTTCATGTACTGTTAATTTTCCTTTTTATGAGAGTGTTTATCAAGTGGCAACACTACAGAGGAGAGATCCAGAGTCTAGGCTCAGCAATGATCTCCAACCTCAAAGCGAATCCGACCAACAGAAGCTTAATTGGCCAGAAACTGGATTTTCGAATCAGCAAAGATCGCTTTGAAGGGCTTATTGGATTGAGGTCAGGCGGTCTTCCTCCGTCACCAAAAAGTAAAAAATGGTCAGATAAAGTTGATCTCTCAGTCACATTACGAGATGCCTTGCTAACTGAGGGAATAGAGAACAATGGCATAGCTCTTGACCTGTTTCGTAAACTTTACATTCTTGGCGTTCACACATATGGTAGGCTTTATTTTAGTTTCTTTTTGTAGTTCTTATACTGTGATCGTGGATCATCTAACTATTGTTTGTTAGATTACAATTATAATGTCTACGCATTGGATTGGAAAGTGAGAGAAGTTTGGCGGTTAGGTCTATTAAAGAATGTTAAGTTGCCTTTATCGATCGACGAGTTACCAGTGATTGAAAAATTCATTACAACCTTAATGCGTATCGAGGTAATTTGCTTTCGAGATTTAGTGATGCTTTATATCTTATCCATGACTTTCTCTAACTTGTACACGCATTCATTTGAGATAGAATACTTTAGATAATATACAATCAATTCGCAGGCAAATATTGATCGAAAAGGCGAGATTATATCGAGACCCCCGTTCATTCACCTACATGATGGATTATTCCATTTGCGAATATAAACGCATAAACCGAAAAAGACGTGTGAAAAATCATGACTGGTGCGAATGTTTATATAATAAACACGACACTGCATTATCAGAATAATAAAGCCTAAAAGTTTCTTGTACATGTTTGATCTACAATAACCATTGTGTCATTTTCATTTAGTTTATCAGATTACATTGCAGTCTGTTCCATTGCGTTGCAAGAAAGGTCCAATTGACCTGTGCTATCTTTTGGCTTGCTAAACTAGTTAATAAATTTTCATACAAATAATAAAATTAATATGTAGGATTATATGTATATGAAAAATAGTAAAAATAGTGATTTCATTAAATATGAACAAGCAATTAATTTTTTAAAGAGAGGCTGTTATTGCGAATGTTCAGTTAATGTTCTAAAAAAAAGCTTTGCTGAGTTATGTGAGATCTTTCAAGTACTATCCAAATCAGAACAAGATAGTTTTTAATGATAAAAATTAAAGTAATATTAAATAGAGTATTATTTGAAAAAAAATCAGATCTAATAAAAAAACTTATTATTATTAAAATTACAACAAATTTCTATGTCAAGAAATATATCATAATATGCTTGATATTGGCAGAATATATCTTGAAAATATTAAAAATCAGTTAATCAATTAAGAATATCTAATAGAAGATTAAAATAATAATTAATTATAATATTACTATTGTAACCAATCAGCTTATTCGTGTGGCGCAGTAGACGTGGCGCAGCATATGGCGCAGCCGCAGCACGTGGCGCA